CCTCCTCCTCCTCCTCCTCCGCCGGCCCCTCCAAGCCCCGGGGCGCTGGTGGGCGATGGCTGAGGTGACACCCCCGCCCCTGTGCTGTCTGTCACAGCCCCCTGGCATCGGCCTGGGGGGTTTGCGGGTCCCCATGTGCCCCTCAGTCAGTGTCACCCCTCTGCTCAGAGCCCCGTGCCCGGGCTGGAGCTGATGGATCCCGCTCAGAGCTCCGTGTTCAGGATGGAGATGATGGATCCCACTCAGGGCTCTGTATTTAGGCTGGAGCTGGCCTGGAGCTGATGGATCCTGCTCAGGGCTCTGTGTTTAGGCTGGAGCTGGGCTGGAGCTGATGGATTTCGCTCCGAGCTCTGTATTCAGGCTGGAGCTGGGCTGGAGCTGCTGGATGCTCCCCGATTCAGCAGCAGCAGCTGCAGACAGCCCTGATTCCCCAGCGCTCAGTGCCGCTGTTCTCCGGGCCGCAGCGCTGGGTCAGCAGGGACAGAGGCTGCAGCAGCCCACGGGCACAGCAGCACCGCTGGCAGGGCTGGGCAGAGCTGCCCTCGCCTTAATCAGCGCTGCCGAGTTCTATTGCTGCAATTACGCCGCTGTTAATTGCAGCGAGAGCAGTTCTGGGGCAGGTGAGCAGCCCCCGGTGCAGGAGGGCACCTCCAGCCCCTTCTCTGCGCTGTTTCTCCCTCCTGCCCATGCCAGAGCTGTGCCCCAGCCCCTGCCCCTGCCCAGGTTTGGGAGTGGGGCACAAAACCCCAATAAAAACCCCAAGATAAAACTCTTCCCGATATCCCACAGCTGGGAGCAGAGCCAGGGTCACATCCATGCCATGCCGGTGCCCATGCCCGTTCCTTGTGCTCATCCCAGTGCCCAGGCTGTCCTGCCTGTGCCTGTCCCATGTCCCATGTCTTGTGTCCTGTGTCCCATGTCCCATGCCATGCCAGTGCCTGTCCTATGTCCCATGTGCCATGTGCCATGTGCCATGTGCCATGTGCCATGTGTTGTGTGCCATGTGCCACATGCTATGTGCCATGTGCCACATGCCATGTGCCATATGCCATGTCCCATGTGCCATGTCCCATGTGCCGTGTGCCATGTGCCATGTCCCATGTGCCACATGCCATGTGCCATGTGCCATGTGCCATGTGCCATGTGCCATGTGCCCAGGCTGGCTCAGACCCCAGGTCACAGCGGGTCCCTTAACCAGGACACGTCCCAGCACCTCGGGGCCTCAGAGGTGACCCCAGGTGTGTTTCCACCCCCCACCCTGAGGACGGGACCTGAGCCCGGTGTAGGGAAGGACACCCCGACCTCCCCTTGGCTGCAGCTCCCACCTCAAACCCCACCAGCCCATCCCCCCGGCTCTCCCCCCGGTGATCTGGTGAGGTGGGAATAGATCCCCGTGCCAGGGTCATTGAGAGTGGGAGGAAAACTCCACTGACTGCCCCAGGTGCCGGTGAGAGGGAAAGAAACATTTCCTGGCTGAGCACACAGCCCCTGTCAGCCTTGCTTTGACTGCTGTGAGCAGAAAAAATACCCCACATAATCAACTTTAAACAAAATGCTTTGTCACGGCCATGGACTGTGGCAGCAGAATCATCCTGGGAGGGTGAAGGACAGGTATGGAGCACTTTGCTCATCATGATGGACTAATGCACTGAAGGCTTTGAAGGCTTTAATAATTTGGGAACTACCTCACCTCGCTGCTGCCATCTCCACCATCCCAGGAGCTGCCTGAAATCACGAGAGTGTTTATTCTCCTCGCCTGCATTCACAGGGAAATCCTTCATTTCCAAGCTGGGGTAGATAATTCATCAGCTTTAGGCAGATAAGCATTATTTCCATCTCTTCAGAGAGCTGTAATTAGCTGGCATGATTAAACTTTATCAGGCTGCAATTCTGTACAAATCCAACACTGCACAGGCTCTGATGGATGTCTGTGCTGGGTCCCTGGCAGCCCCAGCACGGGGGACAGGCCCAGGTCAGGGTGTGACAAAGCCATTTGGGCATCACTTGTGCTGCTGGAACTGGTGGTTTGTTTTCCTGAACCCAGGGGCTTCACCTGGAGCCTCTGCAGAGGGACATGGGGAAGCAGAGCAGGGAGCTGGGAGCTGAGCCTGCAAAGGAGGATGGATCTGAAGATGGATTTAACGATATCCTCGGGATGGATGGAGCCAGGAGGGGAGGCAGGAGGGCAGTGGGTGCTGTGTCTGCACCCCTTGTGCTCAGCAGGACAGGCTTAGTGCCTGGGCAGGGCCAGGCTGGGCTCCCAAAAACTGCAGCTGGAGAGGAAGGACAAACCTATCCCCATCCCCATTTCAACCCCAACCCCAACCCCATCCCATCCTCCTCAGACACCCATCAGCGTGGCAGGGATGAAGGAACCTGAGCAGGACCATGGAGACAATCCCCTCTGCACATGACCATGTGGGAATAAACCAAAATGTGCTGCAGAGGAAAGACAAACCATTCCCATTCCCATTCCCATTCCCATCCCCAATCCCATTCCCATCCTTATCCCCATCCTCATCCTCATTATCCTGGGCCAGCCACTGGGCTGGTGGGGATGAAGGAAACCCTGAGCAGGAGCACATTGGGGACAATCCCCTCTGCACGTAACCATGTGGGAATAAAGCAAAATATGCTGCAGAGGAAGGACAAACCATTCCCATTCCCATTCCCATTCCCAATCCCATTCCCATCCCCATCCCCATTCCCATTCCCATTCCCATTCCCATCCCCATTCCCATTCCCATCTCTATCCCCATCCCATCCTCCTCAGGCACCCACTGGGCTGGTGGGGATGAAGGAAACTCTGACCAGGAGCACATTGGGGACAATCCCCTCTGCACATGATCCTGTAGGAACAAACCAAACTGTGCTCACCTGCTGAGTTTTGAGCTCCCAAATGTCTCCAGTCCCAGTAAAAGCTTTCAAACACCTTCTTTGCTTTCCTGTGCCAGGCTTTGCAGCTGAGTCTGTCTCTGGCACCAGCCCGTGCCAAAAGCTCCCTGCTGTGGCACCACATGGCGCTGTCTGAGCTGCCAGGACATGGTGCCCATCCTCAGGTGGTTTTGGGAGCCCCAAAAGCAGCCTGTGTGTCTGTGTGACAGGCTCCAGGCTATTTCTGTGTGCCACAAACCTCCCCTTCCTGTTTGCAAATCAACAATATCAATGCTGTCTGGTTTTTACCTCTTCATTCAGGTTTTATTTATTTTTTTTTATTTAAGAAACACACCAGTGGGCAAAAGAGGCAGTGATGACTCAGTGTTTGTGTGGATTAAGTTTTCAAAAATAAGGCTTTTAAACTATTTACTTGGTTTATTTAGCAGGATTCTGTGTGCACTGCCTAAATCATATTCCATACATTGCTTTTTTGGAAGGGATGAAGCTTGGTTTCTAATTAAGAAGTTATTTACATGGATAGATATTCCCATTTCTTTTCAGTTTGAAGGCGGTGGATGCATTTTTTCATCGCCTCTTAAATACCACCACCACCACACTAAGACAGAATTTCAAATTAATTCACAGCCAGACTTCTTGGGGATCAGCACTGGGGAAAGTGTTTAAAAGCCTCCAGTGGAAGGATTTTCTATTGGAAAGGAGATTTTTGCTGCAGATAAATTTCCTGCGAGAATCCCTTGACACCAGCAGCATTCTGGCCAGGCAAACAAGCCCTGTGCTAAGGGCAAACCTTCCTATGGGACATCTCAGGGGAAGAAATTCCAGCTTTGGGATTATTTTCCCATTGGAATGAGTCGGAGGGGTGAGAAGAGTATCAGGATGGAAAAGGCTGATGCACTGTGGGCATTCCTGGGGGGGCGAGGGTGCTGGCACAAACGCAGGTGGCACCTGGGTGTGATGTCCTGATGTTTTTTGGCCATGTGAGGAATGCTCAGCTTGGGCAGAGCGTGGCACGGACGCATCCCTGCCCAAAAAGGAGAATTTTTGGCTGCGGGGTGGCATCCCCCTGGGCGGTGGCAGCAGGCGGGGCTCATCCTGCCGCCCCCTGCCCAGCCCCGGCGGCCAAGAGCAGCTATTTCAGGAGGATAAACAGGATGCCTCGCTCCCAGCCCGGCCACTTCCAACCCTCCTCCGGGGTAAACAAGGCCAGCCCAGGAAAAGCCTTCCCGGAGCTGGTGCCCCACACCGAGCCAAGCAGCATCCCGGGACCCAGAGCGGTCCCAAGGCGTGCATCCACCTCGGCAGCGACTCCCCGGAGCCACGCCATCATCCTCCTTCCTCCTCCTCCTCCTCCTCCTCCTCCCTGGGTCACAGCGGGCTGCTGGCGGTGCCAGGGCGATGGGGATGAGGGCAGTGAGGTTTTTGCTGCCCGCGGGTCGTGCCCGGGCAGCGCCGGGCATCCTGCGGGGCTGTTTCCGCCTGTGTGCTCGGCAAAGGAGCGGCAGCAGCAGGAAAGAGGAAGGAGGAGCTTTTTTCCAGCGCTTCCTCCATCTCGGCGGCTCCAGCCGCTTCCTCCCGGCTGTGTGCGAGGAGCCCCCGCACGGTCGGTCCCGCATTCCCGGTGTCAGTGTGCCCTCCTCACCCGGGAGGTGCCAGCCCCCATCCCGGCACAGCCCAAACCTGCGGCTGGGGTGGGTTTAAATCACCTCAAGCGTTCCCATCCCGCTGCCCTGGCCGTGCCCGCTGTCCCCTTGGGCACCAAGGTCACGGCTGGCGCTGCGGGGCGTGGGTAGGTAGGACGGAGCCCGGGTGTGGCAGTGCCAGGCTGGAGCAGCGCGGAGCCGCTTCTCCCGCTGGGAATTTGGGGCACACCGGGCACTGCCCAGCTCCCGGTTAGGGGGCACGGCCCCTCCTCCATCTGCCCATCCCCCCGCCGCAATTAGCGCGGTTAATTACCCGGCGGGGGGACACTCACGGCCTCTCCCCACGCGGGGCGGTGCGGGAGGAGTGGCCGGGGAGCCGTGGGGCGCCGTGCTGCCGGGCCGCCCCGAGCTCTGCCTTCTTCCTCCTCCTCCTCCTTCTCCTCCTCCTCCTCCTCCTCCCTCTTCCCCCTCCTCCTGCCGCTCCTCCCGCCGCCCGGCCCGGCCCGGCTCGGCTCGCCATGGGCGATGTGGTCTCCACGCACCTGGACGAGGGTCGCCGCCAGCACATCGCGGGTGAGCCCCCGGCGCGCCCCCCGCTCCGCTCACCCCGGGCAGACCCCCGGGATCTCCCCATCCCTCCTTCAATCCCTTTGGGAACCCCCCCGCTCAGTCTTCCCGGGACCCCCACGCCTGCTCTTCGCCTTTCTTTCGCTCTTCAAACTTTTTAGTTTTTAGTTTCCGCGTGGTTTTGGCTCGGCGCAGCTCTGGGGGGTACCCGAGGTGCCCGCGTGTCTCCCCAATGAAAGGCTGCGTTGTGCCGGGGGTGTTGGCGGTGGCAGCGGGGCTCGGGGACCCCCGGGGCTGCGGGGAGGTGGCTCCAGGGGATGCTGGAAGTGCAGGGACACCGCTGTCACCTGCCTGGCAGATGAGTCCCATCCCCTTCACAGCGCTGGGGGATCCTTAGGAACCCCCCTCCGAGGCTGTGGGGCGGAGGGAAGGGCTGCTGCACCCCTGGCTGGCTCCAGGCAGGACACAGCGGTGCCCCCGCCAGCTCCGTGCGACAGGCGGGGTGACAATGTGGCCATTGAGAGCCGAGTGTCCCGGGGCGGCTCGGGGCGTCTGCCCAGAGCTCAGTGACGGCTCTGCTGGGACACGCATCGTGTCAAGCACTGCTAATTGGGGTCTGTGGTGACACTCTGACCCCTCTAAGTGGTGTCACCCCCCGTGGCAGTGCTGGGCTCCCCCAAGCCACTTTGCGTCACTCGTGATGCGATGCGGGCGCTCGGCTCCCCGGGGCTTGGGAGCGGGCAGGACGTGACCTCGGAGCCTTTTCTTGTCCCAGCTTTGCTTTCAGCTCCCCAGGCTGGCAAAACCTCGTCTCGGGTGGGTGAAGCCACCCCCGCAGCAGCGGGGCCACACCTGAGCGGGTGGCACAGCTTCGTGCTGGACCTTGTGAAGGGCTGAGGAGCGCCTCTGTTTTGGAGGTGACTCCACCGTGTCACTCCTGTGTCGCGGGAGTGGCTCTGAAGTCCCTTTGTCCCCAAGGGAGGCTCTGGGGGAAGAGCTGCCGTGGGGCTGGCACAGGGGCTGGCACAGGGGCGGCTGTGTGGCCCTGCCAGGCCCCATCCTGGCAGGAATGCTTACGTGGTATGCGGCTCAGCAGGACGCCAGCAGGTTTCTGGGCTTTGAAGGAGAGCTTGGAACTCGCTCTGGGCTTTTCAGCTTGCATTAGTTAAAGCTCAGAGCGCCTGAGCACCGGCTGCCCGTGGCGTGTTTGGATCCAAAGCACATCCTGAATTTCTCTGGAATTGCTGAGATTGTCTGTGCACAGCTCCCCGTGCAAGCCCCTGTGAGCGTAATCCTGAAGAATAACAAGGAGAAGCCTGGCTGGGTTTCCTGTGCAGGAATCTGGCTCTGCCGGGTCAGGGATTGAGTGTTTGCAAGGCCGGGCAGGGGCTGAGCTGTTAGCCCAGGGTGGGATTTAACCCATGGGGCTCTTCATGGGAAAAGGATTTAATGAGGGAAAAAAATGATTCCTGTGGAATAGGATTATGGAGACTGGGCTGGGACGTGTCCCATGGGGTGAGTAGAGGGGACACACACCTGCACTGGGACACCTCCCTGGGAGAGACTGGGGCAAACTGGGCTCTTGGAGCAGCTCCCTGCTCCTGCCAGGGCTCCTGGCTGGCTGAGGAGCCCCCGGAGCTGGGAGGGGCTGGAGCCCAGCAGGCAAGGCACGACTTGCTGTCAGGCATGCAAAGCAACGTGGCGGGGAAAACTCCGGGTTTTCCTGCCTAGCTCGGCCTGTTCTCCACTGCTGCTGCCCCAGGAAGGATCCAGCCCTTCTCCAAGCAGCTTTTCCCAGTTGTCCTCCCAAATTTGGGGTGTTTGGATTTGCTGCCCAGGCCACGGTGACACTGATTGCTGGAGGCACAGGAGCTCTTTGGGCTTGGCAGTGCTTCCCGAGGTTGCAGCCCCTTAGAGCAGCAGAGCTGCTGGGGAGAGCCCGGCCCAGAGCCCTCCTGGGAACGGGGTAAAGGCAGGAGGCAGGTGGGAGAAGCCCTGCCATGCCCACAGTGCCCAGGTGCAGGTGCCATGCCCTGTCCCAGCCCATTTGTTGGTGGCTGTGTGAGGCTCATGCCAATGTCTCCCAGACGTCAGGGCCACACGTGTGTGACTTGGGTGGCTCAGGAGGAGGGTCTTTCCTCCCAGCTGGGGCTGGAGGGCCCCAGGCAGTCACAGAGGCAGCTCCTGCCAGCTTTGGTGCTGTCAGGGTGTGATCCACAGGTGTGATCATCCTGCATTCTGCAGGGTCTCTCTGACCGGTGCCTCCTCCTGCCACCCTGCTTTGGACATCTTCCTGCCTGACTCATCCAGTTTGTTTGTCAACACCCTTTGGCTGCTCTCCTCCTCCTCCTCCTCTTCCTCCCAGATGTGGGTTGGGAGTTGTTTCCAAGCTGCTCTGTGGGCTGGAGGAGGGACTGGCTCATGCTCCTTGTGCAAGGATGCCCAGCGTGGGCACCACTGCCTGGGCACACCAGGGGGGCAGGGATGGGGTGTTCTGGGAAACCAGAATGTCACTGGGTGGGGTTTTGCACGGTGTCCTCTCGTGTGCAGCGCAGGGGGTGCTCTCAGCATGGGCTGGATAAAGCTCTTCCCTCATGCTGGGATCGTGATGCTTCCCTGGAGCATCCATGGACCCCTTCTCCTGGGGGCTGAGCTGAGGCGTGCCTGGCAGGAGCTCTGGGTGCAGCTGCTGGTCCTGAGCCCAGGGGTGCCAGCACCCAGGGACGCAGCAGGAGCTCCTGGGTGCCATTCTGGGTGAGTGGCAGAGCCCAGGGATGCAGCAGGAGCTCCTGGGTGCCATCCTGGATGAGTGGCAGAGCCCAGGGATGCAGCAGGAGCTCCTGGGTGCCATCCTGGATGAGTGGCAGAGCCCAGGGATGCAGCAGGAGCTCCTGGGTGATTGGCAGAGCCCAGGGACACAGCAAGAGCTCCTGGGTGAGTGGCAGAGCCCAAGGTTCAGCAGGAACCGCTGGATGTCTCCACAGCCAGAGGGATGTGGGGGTGGGTGGCAGCACAGGGAGGGTCCCTGGGAGCTCCCACCTTGCTCTGGCATCTCCGGGGAGTCGCCAGCCCGTTAATTACAGAGTGAAGCAGCTGCTAATTTCGGGGTAGGACTTCCACAGGCAGCAGCAGCCCACGAGGAGGTGGCAGAGGTGACACTGAGCCCCATCCCTGGGGGGGGGACATGCAGGTTCCCTTGTCGGGCATGGGTGTGTGCATATCCCCGACCCCAGCAGGGGCATGGCATGGCATGGCATGGCTCGGCTCCAGAGGTGCCTGGAAAGGCCAGAAGGCAGCAGGCTGTGCTGTGCCCCGGGGATGGAGGCTGCTGGCAGCAGGAGGAGGTTGGCTGTGGCTTCCCTAAGCGTGACACTCATTTCCCAGCCTTTGCCACAGCTCAGCCCCAGCCGGCGTGGGAGGTGGAGGCTGTGGGGCTCTGGGGTTGGGCTGGAGGCTGCAGCCCTCACCCTGCCCGGGGGGAGCCGTGCAGGGAGGCTCCAGAGTGGTTTCTCCCAACGAAATGTGTGTCTTTCATCGCCGAATAAATAACTCCCCTGGCACGCCGGGGCTGGCTGCCAGCGGCCAGGGCTGGTTCTGGCACGCCGGGGCTTTACCTGCAGCCTCGTGTCGGGGCAGGGGACACGGCTGGGAGCCCTCCTCAGCCCCGAGCACAGCCCTCTGCCCTCGGGAAGGGCTTTCCCTGCCTCCCCCGGCCCAGGTTTGGGAGGGCATCCCTGCTCTGCCTGGGAGCAGCAGGGCTGGCACAGCAGGAACAGAGCCAGGCTGGCAGCAGGAGAGAAAAGCACCCCCAGACCAGGATACCTCCACAGCAGTACAACCCAAAACCCATGGATGATGGATGAGGCCCTTTTCTGACTCAGAGGTGTTTTAAAAGCCTTTATTCAGTTTTCAGTCTCATCTGAAGGGTGACACAATACAGATGTTATAATTCATGCTGTTACAATCAGAAGCCAACTATTTCCTAATTACAATACATTAAAAGTGTTTCTTGGCCTATCACCTTTAGCCACACCACGCTGTAAATGCCTTAAAGCTCTACAAATTCATTTCCCACACAGGGACACAGCCAGGAGCTGGGATTTCCCAAGCCTTTGCCTCCCCTGGTCCCCAAATCACTGCAGAGCTGGCTCAGAGCTCTGAGGGGTCGGTGCCCCTTGGCACTGCCAGGCTCCTGTGCCTCCGAGCTCTCCAGCAGGGAGCAGGGCTGGAGGGATGCAGGGATGCTCATCCACGGGCACTTCATGGGGCAGGTGTGAAGGCAGGTGAGCAGCAGCTCCACAGGAGCTGCTCTGCCCCTGCAGGACCCAGCTCTGCTCCCACCACCCAATTTGTGGGGGATGTCTGTCAGAATCTGAGGTATTGATGATTCTGAGGTTGTAGAAAGTCTCTGTCTGTCAGCCCCGCTGCCAAAGCAGAAGCCATAATTCGTCTGTGCTGGTTTCAGGGTTGTTTATTCTGTTTATCTCTAACATGTTCTGCTGCCCTGCCGCAGCTCTGTCCTGCAGGGCAGCGTGTGGGGCTCTGCCCTCAGTGGGATGTTACAAACATTAAATACCACAAACTACCTGTGCTGGATTTACAATAACGTGCCAATATCTGTCACCTACGTTGGACAGTGTGTCCCCAGCCTGAACCAACAGAAAAATGCCAACACCACAGTGAAACATGGAGGGCATGAAGAAGGAGAAAAAGGACAAGACACACCCAATTTCCTCCATCTTGTCCCCTCTGAACCCCTAATCTAGAATCCTAAAATTTTACTTTTGCACCCGTGCCACACTTAATTATTACTTATATCAAACACTCAGAGCTTGTAATTCATCCTGTAAGATTGAAAACTCTTTTCCATGGACAGAGATCACAGACAGTGTCTCTGGGGGCTCTGTCCAGGGGGGTTCCTGACCCCTGCCAGGGTCCCAGACCTGCCAGGGCAGCCAGAGGGAAGCTCTGGATTCCCACAGATGTCAGCTCCTCCTGGGGCTGCA